TTTTCTTTTCTTTTCTTTTCTTTCATACATAGTATCCAATTCTAGTTAAAAATTAATCATAGCAGTATAAACACAGATATATAAAACATCAGTTGCATGAAAAATTCCCATGCAACATAGTCTTGCAATCAAATATTGAGGTTTTGCATATTTTCTCCTCACAATCTGAAAACAAGAAGCATCATTGTTCCAAACACACACATTTTAGGAGAGTTCAGTTTTGAGTGGAAACCAATGACTTCAGAAATGTTCATTAATACAATCAACCTTTTATAATAAAGTTAATTTTTAGTATACCATTTCAAAAGTTTCCTAACATTTGTACTATGAAATGGTTAATATTGTTTTTGTCTGTATTAGTACTGAATATTAGCTTTAGTATTTAATAATTAAGATCAATGCTTTCAGGAAAGACTGTCTGGTTCCTATAACGAACTATATGGATGACTAAGTTAATTACTCAGCTTATTAACTTGTGCATTGTTACCCATGTAATGCAGCCAAATGATGAAGATTCATTGGAAGTGTTCCTTCTTGTGAATCAAAATAAGTTAGTTGTAAAGTATATTTTCAGAAAAATATGTATCAACTTAAATAATGGGAAACTTGCAGTCAGTTCCTATCAGTCTTATTGAGTCTAAATTGAAATTACTAATACAATGTGCATTCACATTATTTTCTGTGTTGTGGAGAGGTTTCAGAATACTTGTAGCCTTGGTACAGCAGAGCTACTTGTGTGCACTCACATACTGCAAAGAATTATGAAGGTTCATCAAAAGTGTTTCTTCCTGTGAATCAAGATAGGTGTAGACAATAACAAGATCTCAAAAACTAAAACTCGGAAACATGATTAAGCAGAGAAAATTACTCACTTTTACTATTTTTCTCTCTAGCAGTTTCCTTTCTGTCACCTTCCATAATAAAGCCATAGATGTCTTTTTTTGTCCTCCTTATAAATTCTTTCTAGCCAGTGTTCTGAACACTCCTTCACTAAGACTTCTTTCATGTGTGGTCTAACCCCAAAGACTTTATGTGTAACCCATCCAGCACTAACCCTGCTGAAGTGTGGACACGGGTTTCTAGTGACATAACACATTGTGACTTTCAGTCAGTCCTTTTCAGAAGTCCAGAACTGTTGCAAGAATATGTTAGGCATATACTTTGATTCAAACCAGAAGTGACTTCGAAATGGTTCAAACTGCATGTCAATGTGTATTTGAAATTGCTGCTAAGTGGTTGTTTAGGCTTACTCAATGGAATTAACAGGTGCATCCTCACAGAATCATAGAATGGTTTAGGTTGCAAGGGATGTTAGAGTTCCAACCCCCCTGCCATGGGCAGGGACACCTTCCACTAGACCAGGTTGCTCAAAGTCTCATCCAGCCTGGCCTTGAACACTTCCAGGGATGGGGCATCCACAACATCTCTGGGCAACCTGTGCCAGTGCCTCACCACCCTCTCTGGGAAGAATTTCTTCTAAACCTCCCCACTTTCAATTTAAACACGTTACCCCTTGTAAAAAGTCCCCCAGTCAGCTTTCTTGTTGGCCCCTTCAGGTACTGGAAGGCTGCAATAAGGTCTCCCCAGACCCTTCTCTTTTCCAGGCTGAACAAACCCAACTCA